TTTGGAGGAGAGATCCCCCGTGTGCCCGGTGCCATAATAAAGAATACCTGCTTAATAGCCTGCCAGCTATCGAGTCTTCAATTCCGGCTTTTCACGGCTTCAGTCCCTAATTACCTCTGCTGGTCCTAACCATAATGGGGAGCGGTGAGGGTGACAAACACCCCGGCTCTGCACCGGTGGCGTGTGAGCGAAGTGGAAGTGCTGCATCAGCATGTCCGAGGCAAGTCCCAGCTCTGGGTGCAGCTGCTTCATTTGCACCGTCTAAAGACAAATTGTGTCAGTTTCCAACTCCTGTTCTTCATTCCATTTACCTTTCCTTTACCTTTCACTGGGGAAGTTCAAAAGCAGCTTGGATAAGCAGGAGGGAAGATCTAGAGGTGGTTGCTCCAGTATCCATTGAGAGAGGCCCATCACCCGCTGATGGCTGTCCCAGGCCTATGTCTTGTTTCGGCGGTGTGTGGGGTGGACCAGTTTTGCTGAAGAGTCCCAGAGGAGCTGAGACGGTCGCGGGGCATTGCCCACACCACCAGGCTCTGGGTCCCCACCAGTGCTACCAGGCAGCTGGGAAGACAAACAAGAGCTGACTCCACCTACCAGCAGTACAGAGACAGCCGCCCATGAGATCGACAGCCCAAGAATGTGCACACAAAGGAAGCATTTCCCTCGGCCACGACAGTAAAACCGCCAGACGACCACATGCAGCATGTGATTTCCCAAAAGCATCAGCCCAGATCCCGACTTCTTTGTGCCACGCACTGTTTCCCAGGATCGGGTCGCAGTGGCAACGTGTAAAAGGCACTCTCATGCGCTGAAAATTAATCATATTTTCCTCAACGTTGTTTGTGGAAACTGTGGGGAGCGCTCCTGCCCCTCTGTGGGCCAGCTGGCTCGGCTCGCTGGTCCTCAGAGTCAAACCCTCCGCAGAGATCGGCGATGTTTGTGGTGGAGCTGCCGCTCTGCCTCGGTAGGAGATGTCCAGGCTGATTCTGTGGAGTGAAAGCTCTGGCGGTGACCTGGGAGAGGTCAGCTGTTGACCTACAAATACAGAGCCTCTTGCCCTCTTCCCCGCTCCATGTTGCTGCGAGCAGCAGCCGGAACGCAGCCCGTAGCAGGCACCATGCCGTCGGCTTGCCAAGGCTGCAGGAGCTCAGGAGGGCACCCAGTGTCTGGGAGCTCTGGCCAGCAGGACTCTGGCGCGGAGGGGAGAGCGGGCGAGTCGGGGTGAGTGCTGTTCCTCCTTCCCCTCTCTGGTTTTGCACTGGGGAGACAGCGTTGCTTTCATTGGAGCAATGCTGGGGTAAGAGGGATCTGATCCGCTGCGTCTAAGAACTGCTTTGGCGCAGTGATTCCTGCTTTTAATCCTTTTGGTGGGGACTCTCTGGAGTCTGTTGTGCATTTCTTAGCTGTAAAGGGAGCCGTCAGTTAGCAATGGTCACAGGCTTTGTCAGTAGCGTTCCACAAGCACTAACGAAATGGCAGATGTTCAGGCCTGAAAATGAGATCTGTTGTTTTCAGTGGGATTTTTCTGCCTTTCCCTCTGTCGTGTGTGCCTTGTACTGCTGTAGCATCACAGGGGGCTGCGGGTGTAGGTGCTGTGGCGTTGCTTAATGTATTAATGTTTTTAAAGGTGCGTATGCAGTGTCCCTGGTTTGGTCCTTCCGAGACAAACGCATTGCTCAGATGTATGCCTGCCGTGATTTTACCTGCTAAGAAAATTGTCTTGATTTATGAATGAGCCTTTCCCCCGGGACAATCCCTTCAGATTTCCAGTTTTCCAGGACCTGGTGTCGGCTGGGTTCCATAAACCACACGTCGAGGCAGTGTTTAGTTGATAAGGAGTCAGTGCGGGCGGGACGGAGCTGGGAGCGTGGCGCAGGCTGCGTGCCGCGGGCCGGGCGCGG